TCTCTCTGTTCTCTCATCACTTCGTTTTAGAAACAGTCCAAATCTCGCCATTGATGTACTCTGTTTTACTCTGTTTTGGTCTATACGTCTCTGTTTTGCTGCGTTCCAGATTTTGTCCTTGTGTTGTTCTGGTTCTTTGAGCACAAAGGTTATCACTGTTGTGTCATTGAATCCTAACATGTACAAAACACGAAAAAAATCATATAGAACTAGACAGTTTCTTTCAAGACAGTTTCTGAAATCCCATCAGCCATTGGAAACAAATGACCAGCTCCTGGAATCTCATGATACTTTATCCAGCTTAGTTTATGAGAAATGATCCTTTGTAGTTGAACCAAGACAAGCCTATCATCATCCCCTTGCCAGAGATGTACCGACCCTTCACCCTTTGGGAATGGATTCTCTATCTACATCGGGTCAAATCTCCATTGCCCAAATCCAACAATCGTGTCTCGGACTAATGATTCGTGTACCCCTTGTTGCGTTGTTTAGTTCTTGACGCCTCCCTTGCGGCGAGTTTGGGCAGTATTGCCATATATGTAGGAGAGAATGACTTAGGGTTTGGTTGCATGGCAGCTGATTTTTGGATTTGCTTTCCAGTAGAGTAGCCACGGAGTGTTATGAGTTACGAGCATCCCAAACCTTTCGGTTACAGATTGCTTGTTCCATAGTTCCCATGTCAAACTATCCGGGAAACTAGACCACCATGAGTTTACTACAGGAGCAAGCAACATGGCTCTAGCTAGCATGTGAGGGATAAAGATGATCTTGAAGGTGGGATTTTGTCTACTAACTCCGTAATCTTCGTAGGCCAAATGGCGGCCATCGCTGAGGCATATCCTAGGGCGGTCCACCGGGCGTTTCACATCTCTTAGAAGGTGGAGGTGTATTGGAAACAATAACCATTGCCCCTAATGTAATTAACACTATTACGACGACTACTCCTTCTATTAGACATATTAAAAAATTCAAATCAATAATCACACTTCTTCATCTTTTTGCAAACTTACTTTTCAATTCATCAGTAATCAAAAACTCACATTTCTTCAATTATAGTTTTTTTTTAGGTTATTAAACCTAATATCCTTTTTCAAATGAACCTTTTTTATCATTCACCACTTTTGGTAGCATTTAAATTCCCGATAACATCCTCTATATATTAATAGAAGAGACACTAGGTGAAAATCCTATGAGTTTCAAAGAATTCATTTCTTAATAAAAATTAGTAAAAATTATTAAAAATTCTTAATAACAAATATATGTAAATAACGAATATGTGGTAATTAATATAGAAAATTTTATTTAAGGAATATAGAAAATATTTGAAAATAACTTATTTTCTTTTCAATAATACTAGATTTTTTTTATTCGAATCAAAAGCGGTATTAAAATATTTAAAAACAAAGATTCATGATTATTTTTAATAGATNANANAAATNAAAAATAACAAAGATAAAATATATTTTTGTTTGATCAAAATTTAGTTTTATTCACAATACATATCATTTTGTGTATTTATAAATGTTAGAATATACGTCTAAAT